TTGTGCCCAATAATGCATAATTTCATTTGATAAACACGTTTAGATTGAATGGTAATTTATAATCAGTCACAAGAACGTCGAATCTGAATCACTTGAAAAAACACGGGGGTGCTTAACTTTTTTCCAGGTGTATATTAACTAACTATTCGTCATCTCGTTACGATTATCTGAATTTCAATCAGAGACTTACATTTATATACCTAACTGATTTATATTGAAACTCGAATCAGCATTAAATATATACATATATATATATATATTACCTTTTTTTCCAGTTAAGTGCATCCAAATTTCCTTGTGTGGTAAAGATCGGCCATGCACACGGTGGAATGGGAAAAATAAAAGTGGATAACCATATGGCTTTTCAAGATGTATCTAGTCTAGTAGCTGTTACCAAAAAGTACTGTGTAGTCGAACCTTATATCGATGCCAAATACGATATCCACATCCAGAAAATTGGAAATAATTACAAGGCCTACATGTGAGTATACCTTTGGAACACTGAAATTACCGTTCTTCTGAAGGCTTAACATACTTATATGGCTACAGTTATTTCACATTAATTGAGCTAATACTGAATAAGGCAATTCGGCTCTTACTTGTTACCCTAAAAGAAAAATTTGGTTTTAGTAAAATCCCGTTGTTTCCTTTCATTTTCTTGTAGAACTCCACACCTAGAAACCAATTTATATGGAAAAAAAAATCCACGATAATTGTTTTCCATATTTATTTCTTTTTTATGTTTTTTTAACGGATTTAGTTTTTTTATTTTCTATTAGAATGTATTTCGGACTTCATCGGGTTCATAGGCAGGTGAAGTTCATTATAAGTTGGAAAATGACACATTGACATATTCTGACGCATGAAAATGAACATTGTACTATCTCGAACTTAAAATGTATAACTAAGCAGTAAAATGTTCTTATTCATGAAAAATACCTAATTTTACATAGGAGAATATCTTGATTGAATTGTCCTTGCGGAGGCATGCTTACAAAAGAACTATAACTATATCTATTAGAACTATAACTGAAATGTATATTATACGGTCATGGTTAATATACTAGGTAGTAAAACACTTGAAAGATTTCCAAGTTAATGCAGTGAAAAAAGTGCTCGCTAGTTCTTTGACCTCTTCATCAGGATAGCGAAATAACGTATAGCACAGTTACTGTTTCACATTACTGTATCTAAAGACTGATATAGTCAAACTTATCTGTCAGAACTTTTGTTCAGGGAGCTGTTGAATAGTTGCTTAAGCAGATTCGATGTTTTATCGATGAACGTGTTCTGATAGTTATATGGACACAAAATTCTAGGAGAAAGTAGTAAAGTCTATACAATGTGTTGTAATTTAGTATAAATCTATGTGAAAGTGCTAATTAACTTGTATGTGTTCACCAGAAGAAAGTCAAGCTTTGGATACTGGAATTATTGTAATTTAACATAAATCTATGTGTGGGTGTTAATTAACTTGAATGTGTTCACCAGAAGAAAGTCAAGCTTTGGATACTGGAATTATTGTAATTTAACATAAATCTATGTGTGGGTGTTAATTAACTTGAATGTGTTCACCAGAAGAAAGTCCAGCTTTGGATACTGGAAATATTGTAATTTAACATAAATCTATGTGAGGGTGTTAATTTACTCTTATCAACCAGGAGAAAATCCATCTCTGGATGCTGGAAGGCCAACATTGGTTCCGCCATGTTGGAACAAGTTCAGATGACTGACCGCTACAAGCAGTGGGTAGACGAAGTGTCCGAGATGTTTGGTGGTCTAGACATTTGTGCTATAGAAGCCCTTCAGGGTAAAGATGGACGGGAATACATTTCTGAGGTGAGTAATCATTCGGAGAACGCTTTTTGTCTAGTCGATGGTCAGTTATGAAGTTGGTTCTTACGTAACTTATTCTTAGGCCTCACTTAGCTTGGATATTGTAATATAAATAATGAAATTTGTATCCCACCGTGGGCTTTTGAAACTCTCATCCAAACAATGACATTTAGCATAATTTGTAATTAAACAAAATATAACACTTTTTTTTTACTATATAAACCACTGGATGATTTCAATCGAGGGCGAAATGATTTTTTAAGAATTTATTGCTGACCACAACTAGGACAAATCAAACACAACTAGTACAAACATAAGTGGTTTATAAGTACGTATGTATTTGAGTCTATGCCTTTAACTTTGTACTCTAATTGAAACGAAAAGCGAACGTTATATTCAGCTTATCGTCAAGTGCGTTGTATCACATTTCTTGCAATATAACATATTCAGTGCTACTTTATAATAACAAAACCGTTACTTATACCTAACTGGGCCAGGCGTGTCCTACCGGTTAGTGTGTCGGGCTGCGTATCGGAGGGTTTAGGGTGTGAGACGTAATGTCGCTGAACGCGTATTTTTCAACACATTTCAGACAGAACAATGCCACAGCAGAATCAAAGATGGTTAGTTTACTTTAATCAAGTTTATTCAAACTTCTGGCTCACTAGGAGGAAAGAAAAAGTTTAAATGGTAGCATGAAAATGTTAAATATAAACGTTAATGTTAGGGGTAACAGGTTTATAAAAACAATATATATATATATATATATATATATATATATATA